GCTCTCCCCCCCCTCCCTACAGCAACTAGCCAACAGCCTGGAGGCGTTTGGCCAGCCCTGGGAGCTGAACCCTGGAGATGGTGCTTTCTACGGCCCCAAGGTAAGTCCGGACTGTCCCGTTTCAGGTGTGCAATGGGGGCGGGGTGGGGGGTGTGGGTGTGTGGAGGTGGAGTTGTGGGTGTGGGTGCGGGTGCGGGTGCGGGTGCTGGTGCTGTGGGGGCGAGGTGGGGGGTTGGGTGGGTGTGCTGTGGGGGGGGCGGGGTGGTTGTGGGGGCGGGTTTTTTTTCTCACCCAGAAGAGTCCCTGGACCCCAGCAGGGGGCGGTACAACGCTACCCGCCCTGAGCTGGATCCCCCTGGTAGGGCATTTGGCCCTTCAGACGCCACCTCCTGCTGTACACTCGGCTTGTCCCTGATCTCCTCGTGTTGGGAATTCCACATTCCTGACGAAACTCCCCACCCCCCACTCCTTGCACTCTTGGGGGGGATTGTGTGTAGTTCTGGATCCCAGGCGATAGGGGGGAATGGGATGGTGCTGGACAGGCTCTGGGGGACGGGGGGGACTGTGGGCTGGAGAGAGTTTCGGTAATGCCGAGAGGTTGGTCACACTGCGTTGGGGGCGTTGTTGGGGGTGGGGTTGTTTTCCTATGGAGATTGTGAGAGGGACACGATTGGGGCATACTCGGTCATGAGGGGCGTCGACAGGAAAAGACTTTTACAGCTTGTTGGAGGAGTCAGTGACTGGGGTTTTGGGGGGAGGGGCATCAATTTCAGGGAAGGGGCAAGAGGTTGAGAAAAGATTTTAAGGCAAAACCGTTCTCCCCGAGGATCGAGACTGAAACCCTCACAGCGTGGAAAAAATTTCAAAAGCCGTCTGCTCGCTCGTGTCCTTTGGGGAAGGAAGGTGCCATCCTTACCCTGTCTGGCTTACATGTGACTCCAGACCCCCCACCAGCCATAGCAATGTGGTTGAGTCTCAAACTGCCTCCCCTGAGCAATTAGGGACGGGGCATTGAACACTGGCCGGGCTCAGTGATGCCCCCACCCCCTGAGCAAGTATTTAGATGGGCACTTGCGATGGGGCTAAGAGCCAAGGGCTGGGGAAATGGGGTTGGAATTGTTAGGGGCTGGCCGTTGACTAGATGGGCCAAATGTCCTTACTCCGTGCCGTAGACCGCTCCGACTCTGCGGCCGTGAGCCTGTGCGGTGTTAGGGGCACCCGCCGTGCCACGAGTTGGAGGGGGGGAGGTGGGGTGCGCGTCGCAGGGGCTTAGAAGCCAGCGACGCTGAAGGGGGCGGCCATTGCCACCCACCGAGCCGGAGGGTGAAATGTTGGCTCTCCTGGAATTTGTGAATCCACTCGGGGGGAAAAGTCCGGAGCTGGACGTCAGAGAGAGAGAGAGAGAGAGAGAGAGACGTGGCTGGTGGGTTAACCCCGGCTCATGAGGTTTGCATTGCAAACATCTCGTTCCAGATTGACATCCAGATCAAAGACGCCATCGGCCGGGATCATCAGTGTGGGACAATCCAGTTGGACTTCCAACTACCCAGCCGTTTTGGCCTGAGCTACGTCGGGTGAGTGTGGTCGGGCGCCGGCTGGCTATTTGACCTTGGGTGGCGGCGCCCATCTACACGCCATTGGCGTTGGCCGCTGATGTGATGGAGCCACCAAGACTTGAGATGCCGTGATCGTCGGAGGGGGAGGGGGACGGACGGGGTGGGGGTGGGTTGGGGAAGGGTGGGGGGAGTGTCTCATTGACCCCAAAAGGGGAGGACCAAGGTGGCGGCAGGATTGAGGCCAGGATGATCCCAGAACAGGGTTGGACGGTAAACGGAGGGAAGGTGTTTCCCACTTTGCAGGGTGACCAGCCTGGGAGGGCCATCGGGATGAAATGGCCTGATCCGCATTTCAGGAGAAATGTCTTT